TCTCTTTTACGTACACAGATAATCCCAATCGAGTCGTGCCTAGTGCCTTGCTGAGATAGGCTAGGGGCTGTTCTTCCTGCACTAGCACAGCTCCAATTCCAATATCACTTGCATCTGTGTGTACCTCGAACAAGACATCAAACCTTGGCATGGCAAGCACTGGCGTCGTAGTCATGGCGCTTTTTAGTTTCTCAAATGCCTCCTCGCTAGCCTTGGTCCATGTGAACCCGCCTTTCTTGGTCATCTCGGTCAATGGCTTGGCGATGGTCCCATAGTCCTTCACAAATTTCTTGTAGTAGCCTGTGAGCCCTAGGAATCCTCGGAGCTGCGTGAGACTTGTTGGCTTAGGCCAGTCGACCATAGCCTCTATCTTCTGTGGATCAACCTTCATGCCATCGTAGGATATAAAGTAAACGAGGTACTCAACCATTTCTTGCCCAAACGAAAACATGGACGGCTTGATGTGGAATGAGTTAGCCTCAAAGATTTCAAGCACCACTCGCAAATGCTCCAGATGTTCAACCCATGACTTCGAATAAACCAAGATATCATCAAAGAAGACTAGAATAAACTTACGTAGATATTACTTGAAGATAGAATTCATAGAAAATTGGAAAGTCGATGGAGCGTTGCACAACCCGAATGGCATTACCAAATACTCATAATGCCCTTGATGTGTACGAAAAGCTGTCTTCAGAATGTCGACCTTGTGGAGTCGGATCTGATGATAGCCAGCTCTTAGGTTGAGCTTCTAGAAATAGCGTGATCTTGCCAACTCATCGAGCATGTCATCAACACTAGGAATGAAAATCGATCCTTGATAGTCGCGGCATTTATAGCCCGATAGTCGGTACAAAACCTTCACGTACCATCCTTCTTTTTAGCTAACAATACTGGCGATGAGAATGGACTCGACCTATGCTGAATTAACCCAGACTCTAACATCTCAGCTACTTGCCTTTCGATCTCAGTTTTCTAAAAGTGAGCGTACCTATAAGGGTGGACGTGTACGGCATGCTGCTCATTGACTAGCGATATGCGATGATCGAACTCTTGGTGGGGTGGTAGTCCCTTAGGTTCGCCCAGTACTCCCTCAAATTCCTCGTGAAGCTCGCGCACATCTCCTTGCTGCTGCTCGTCCTTGCCCAC